AGCGCTCTACTAAACTTTTATAAAGGGAAATAAATACACACAGTATAGTTATATATAAATATAGCACTTTTGAAAAAATATAATAAACAATGCTAATAAATATAGAAAAGATGGTAAAAGATAGTAATTTCAAGTTTATTTTTAAGTTTATTTTTAATAATAGATATAAAAAATAATATATATATACACACATATTACTATTAAATAAGTACATTTCTTACAATATACATAGCTTCATTGTCACATCCAAAAAGCAGCGTTGATCTATTGATATCAATACTGTTTATTGGTTTGTGCATAGCAGCACACAATGAAGTCACATTAACTTTTCCATTTGTACTAATTGTATTCAACCAATGCATGTCCGCAGAATCTAAAACAGAATATATTAAGATCAACTTATTATGTTGGAGTTATTATAGAAGCGTGGATACTTTAAACTCTAAAATATTTTAAGATAATTCTCTCTCCTCGAATTCGAGACGAAAACTTTATATAATTATACATTTGAAAAGGCTTGGTTTTAACTTTCAAAGATACAGAGTATCAAAATTTAAAGAAAAATTTCGCTTTTTTCAAAGATTTCAAATACCACTTAGATTTTTTTAGCAAAATTTTTTTATAAGACACACAATATTCCTAGAATATTATAAATATTAAAAAAGGGCAAATAATATTTATATAACCTTCTAAGGACATTGTGTGCTTATAAGGTCTATATTTAAAATTTCATCAAAATAACTTGTATAATCATATAAAGTTTTTGTCTTGAATTTGTGTAAGGAATTTTCCTTTGAAATCTTTTAGAGTACTTAGTATTAACTCTCTTAATCAACAACTATTTTCAAGTTATTTACCGAGTTTCAATTTTGAACTTTGTGCGTTATTCCAATGCCACAATTCTCCACTGACAGAACAAGTGAAAAGATTGTCAGGTCTGTCTTGGTGGAATAGTATCTCACTAACGGCTTTAGTGTGCGCATTGAGTTGCGACATTGGATAAGTGTTCTGCCTTAAATCCCACACAGTTAAACTGCCATCGTCTCCACCAGCGACTACAATATGTCTTTGTGTAGGATGATGTGTAATACTTGTAGCTGCTGTCTGCAAAATCATTTGTTACTTTATAAAACTTATAAGATTTTATAGAACTTGATTAAAAAGATTAAAAGTTTATACATATATTAAAATTATAGTAAAGAATATATTAAACTTACCTTAACTTGATCAGAGAGCATAAAAGTAGTTGCAGGTATATCCCGATCATTTCTCAAATCCCAAACTTTCATATGTCCTCTTGAATTTCCCGTAAGCACTTCATTGTGTTTTAAGAAATCAACACAATATATAGAGCAGCTATCAGCATTTCCTGATATAATTTAATTAAAAGATAATAAATATTTAAATACAACAATCAGATTATGCAATTATTACAGATATGAATTAAGGCACATGCAGCAATTACCAATAATTCTAACTGGTTTCTTCTCTGCAACTGTGAGAAGATTAAGTTTCCCGTCCTCTCCCACTGAAGCTATATCTTGTTCAAAATTGGACAATGCAGTGCAAGAGGCATAATCCGTTGTCCTATAAAAATGCATTATTAAGAATATAATAAAACTTCATATTTTTACTTCAAAATTTAATACAATCAATTTAATAGATTACTTACTTAAAACTATGTATAAACTCCCATGCCATGTGTTCCTTAAATTCGGTACAGGTATCCTCATCAATTTGTAATAACCTTATTGAGCCTAAAGACGAAGCAGCGACAAAGAAATCTTTGCTGATAAACTAAAAATATATGTTTTATTAATTCTTCATATAAAATATATAAAATAAAAATTATTAATTTTATCAAGAGAGAGAGAGAGAGGAGAAAAAAGAAAAAATCTCTTACCTTCAATTCAGTTACATCTCCAAGGAATGAGTACGATGACAAAACTACAGGATATGATTCCTCGTCGTAATTCGTTTTAAACGTCCAATATGTTATTTTATTTACCTGCATAAGAGAGAAATTTAGCAAGATTAAATTTTGAACTATATATTTGAACTCATATCATTATTATAAATTGTTAATTTCTATTATTGAGAAATATATAAATATATATAAATATAACAAATATATTTGTACATTATAGATAAATATAAATAAATATATAAATATACGAGATTTATTAAATATACAAAAACGCTAATTATTTAAATGTATATTTATTTAGAACGTCTAGAACACAAATTTATAGGTTAGATACGTTAGAAATCTTACAGGGTTATCCCAACTGCCAGTTAAAAAATTTTTCGCTTCCGCAAAATTTCCGAACTGCCACCTTATTTTAGAAATTTTCTCGGATACGAACGTTCCCTGTACATTTTCACCCATTTTTCAGATAAAAATCGGTGCGAATTCAGCCGGAAGAAAAAGTCAAGTAATTACAGTGGTGTCGGAGTCGTCGGAATGGTCCAGCTGATCGTCTGTTCTCCGGCCCGCGATTTCCGCTCCGAAAAGTGCGCCATTGTGCATGTTTTTTATTTATAAATCCTTATATATATTATGGCCCGTATTCAGAACGCGCTTACAACGATGTTAACGCTAAAATACTCTATATTTTATCTTACGCATATTATAGAATTACACATATTTCAGAGATAAAAGCGCGCTTATTTTATCGATAAAAGCGCATTCTGAATACGAGTCTATATAAGTAAACAACAAAAGTTTATGTATTATGCACGCTCTTTTTGTGTCTTTTTATCTTTTTCTCTCTTCGATAAATAATTATGTACTTTATTTTTTTAAAGTGCAGAACAATTGCAATTTACAGTTACTATAATGAACCCGGGAAAAAATGTTTCATATATAATTATATATTATAGATATATATTATAGATAATTATATAAAATTATATATAATTACATAAAATAAAAGTTAAGTTAAAAAGTTAAAAAGTTAATTAAGTAACTTTAACTTAACTTGGTTACATTTTAGACTCTTAACTTTTTAACTTTATTTAGTTACATTTTATTTATATATATATCCGTAACTATTAATTTTTTATTTAATTCTTTGAAGTTAAGCTTCAAACATAATACGCGGCAATAGCGATAACTTAAAATGAGGTGAAAATTGCAAAAGTGAGCAAATTTATTAGGTGTTGGCCAATTAAATTATAAATATTTCAGTGAATTTGCTCACTTTTGTAATTTTCACCTCATTTCAAATTATCGACCCCCAGATTTCAATCTGTCAGAAACCGAGTATTTCGATGTACCTAGTTTCTGGGTATCGATCATGAAACCTTTTTCCTAGGATGAAAAGTGAAAAGTGAAAAATTTCTCCATTAACTTTAATGGTTAAAATTTCCACTTTTCACTTTCTATCCTAGGGATGAAATTTCATGATTGATACCCTGATATAGGTTGCAATCTATTATTCTTTATTACTATCGCTACTCCCTCGTATTGTGTCTGAAGCTTTAGTAATACCACAGGCTAGTATTCATAGTCGAATCTTATATACTAAACAGTATATATAAACAAAACATGTAAATAAAATATAGAGTATTTTCTAAATGAAGTATATATTTGTCATTTCCGTTATTTGTAAAACTGAAACCCTAGAATCATGAATTTAAAAAATTAAAAAAAGCAAATTTAACTTTTAACTTTTCAATTATTTTTTTATTAACTTAACTTTTAATTCACTTAATTTCGTTATAAATTAACTTGTATTTTAACTAAGTTAAATTTTCAAGGTTGTGTTAACTTTAACTTAACTTAGTTTTAAAAAAAGTTAATTTACCTAACCCTGATTTTTATGAGAATATCTTGAATATATTTTACAAAATATTATATCATTATAGACAAAATATATTGCTTAAAAAATAATTGCACGTACGATTTAGCAGCTTTTTAGTTTTATAATGAACCGTTAATTTTTATTTCTTAATTTTTCTTCTTTTTTTTCTAAACGCCTGATTATAGATTTTCATTTCGAGTTTAAAAAATTATATATATATATATAATACACAGTTATGGAGAACAGATTTTTTTATTCTATAATGAAATTCATATATGAGCTACCAATAATTATATTTTTTCATTTATGATAATATTCTATAAACGCGCACTTTTTTTTTAATTTTAGGAAGTCAATTTCTCAAGTCGGTTACTCAATTGTTTATCACCCGCTAAAAAATTTTTCATGCATGCAGAATATGTATAAATATGTATAAACATACATAAACATGTATAATACGGACATATTTCATATATATAATTATATATGTTTATGAATATTTATACGAGTTTACGTATGTTTATACATATTTATACATATTCATAAAAAATTTTTTACCAGGCATTTTCTTCTACCCTAATAATAATCGATATTCATGTTTTAATCTAGCGATAATTGTACTTTTATTAATACAACTCCAATTATATGATCAAACTCCGTTTATACCTTAAAAAATTTGTTCTTCTTAATTGTGTACCATATCTTATTTTTTGTTCTCGAAATGAAATAGTTATATGTTTAGGTATATAAGAACACAAAAACAAGAAATAAAAACTAAAACTAATAAAAATTCAGCTATAATACAGATATATAAAATTGAAAAATCTACTTAAATTACCTTTTTAGGAATATTTTTAGGAATTTATAAATTAATTCAACACACCAGCAAAATTATATAATTTATAACACTTTTCTATAATTAATAGTTTAATTTCAATGTTTATTTAAATGAAAATTTGAATACCACTGATAAGAAAGGAAAATATTATTTGAAGTACATCGAAACTTCTACATGTATGACGCACAATGAAGAACAATTTTTTATTAAGTGTCACAATATTATCTAATTTTTCTTCGACGAATTCTCATCGCGTAAGAAGACGATAAAATCTATTTTTAAGGGCTGGTGGGAGCCACTGCTGTTTATAATTTCGGCTACAACGTGATGAATTCACAACGTACCGTTTACATGCAACGAGATGTCGAATATCGTATGTTACATTATATCACTATTTTGTTTTGTTTCGTTATATTTTGCTTGCGGTGGTGTGAGTGAATCTTTGCGGAAAACGCGTAAGTATGAAACAGTTGTTTATTATGCGCTAACAGTTTCTGCAAGTGGTTACCCTATAAAATATAATAATTTAATTAAAAAGTTTATTTCATAATTAATACTGTATTGTAATCAATAAAACTCGTAAGATTTTGGACAGAACTTTGAAATTTTGATAAATGTAAATTAAAAAATTATAAAGTTATAGTATAATAATTTCACTAATAAAATTAATCATTTCATTAAGTCTTGTTTATATTTTTTCCTTCTGTTATATTTATTATATAAATAAGAGACTTAAGATTTATACTTAATACATATCCAAAGCAGCAAAATTAGTCGAAAATACATTCAATCGACATCCAGATAGGTCCGAAAGTCTATTAGATCTGACCTAATGAACGTCAAATCTACGTCGATCTGACAAGTGGGGAATGAAAAGACGGTAATTTAATAGTATTAATTTGGTAATGGAAGGCATTTTGCCCAATAAGTCATAGTTCGATAAGTGCCCGATAAGTCATACTTCTAAGTTCAAAATCGTTATTTTGGTTAGATTGATTTCAAAGTTGAAATCGACGCCATTTGATATATCGATCAAACTGTGTTCGAGTGTGTTATACTGTGTCGATTTATGTCTCGTAAGAGGAAAGCAGCCATAATCTTTCGCGAAATTCTCTGATGAATAACTATCAAGAGTGTACTATGTGAAGTAGAAGGCTCAAAATTGACATAAAGGATTATATAGACTTTTAGGGCAAGACTGGTTCAATTTACTTTGAAGTCAATTTTGTTGGTCATTTGGATCAAGCGCTGACAAAATTTACCTAATACGTAAATTTCCTTGGTAATCTTGACTTCGAAGTTAGCAGTGATATCTTTGAAATATCAACGAACGTCTCTAAATCAATAATTACTTAATTTTGACAACTTGAAATTCGACTTTGAAGGCGTAAATACAGTTCGATATTAGGTAATTTATGACCTCAGAAACTTATTAATTATTACCAGACTCTGAGAGTTAAAATTAAGTAAATTTTTTACCTCTCTCTATCAAGAACACCTCAAACGCAAATGGACTTTGAAAACATTAATATGTTGAAATTAAGTAATTTTTTATTTGTAAAGAAAACCTCAAATACATTTTCATTTTTAGGACATATTTTAAGTAGAAATTTGGTCATTCTTGTTTTAATTAGGGCAATTTTACTTTGGCTTGGTTAAAATGTTCTACTTTGCTGCTTGGGTATAGTATAACATTATTCAATAATAATTCTGAGATCTTAAAATAAATTAATAGAAATAAAGTTAATATAAATAATACAGTAAATGTCTATTATATTTGATATAGCTAATATTTTATACAATCAACCTCTGATTTTTAAATATAAAAAAGTTTAAAGAACGATGAATTTCAACATATTAATGTTTTCAAAGTCCATTTGCGTTTGAGGTGTTCTTGATAGAGAGAGGTAATTTAAAGAACGATGTTCTATTATAAAATTACGTATGTTATAAACATTTTTCATAAATACACATATAATCTATTTTCTGTAATTAGTTACATGCACTTTCTTTGGTGCATCGTTCATTAAAAAGTACGAATTTATCTGTCACATGCATTTTTAGCGACGATTGAGGCCAATGTCAGCAATAATGATGTCACGGAGACGCAGCATACCATTTGCAAAATTGCAACGGAAGATGTGGTCGCGAATGCACGTGCCACTGTCACAACAGTACTCACTGGAGCATGTAAGGCCAGTAAGTGAAAATAAAAATGAATAAAATATAATAGTCAATTTTTTATTTAATGATACATATACCTTTAAATATTTTTTATACACTTGATGTACATTTTTTTCTTTATAATGATTTTTTATGAGATTAGTTTAATATTTATAAATAGTTAAAAGAGAGAAAGATGAAATTTTTAGGCAATAATTTATCTTTCATAAGAAGTAAACAACTTTCATCATTTTCGGTAATATTAAAAGAAGGTTCCGTACGCATTCACATTTTAATTCTTACGTCTCAATTACGATTTTCCGATTTTAACATGTTATATTAACTAATAACACAATAAAAAGAGAGAATTGTGAACGATAACACTGTGGAGAATCTCTCAAACTTCTGGCGCGCTGAATCTCGGCTTCAAATTTAAATAAAGATAATGATCTTCATCCGATGAAATTAAATCTTAGAAATTGATTAAATATTTTCACCGGAACGAAAATAATCTTGCCCAAATAAACATACAGAAAGTTAATTGTCGTTGATGAAAACGTATGCTTTCAGAAACAATGGACGAAAAGTTCGCGAATCTGGAGGAAAAGTTGAGCAAGGAATTTGCGGATATTAAGTGGTTAATTTACAGCATTTTGGAGCAACAACCGAATTATTTGAAAAGTGTGCGAAACGTTAATCTTCACGATGGAATATTTGATGATTATTTATTCCCGAGACAAGATGAGATCGATAAATTCAACAATACCATGCAAAGCTTATTAATATTAAATGGTTAGTGCAATTATATTATACTGTAATCTAGCTATATTTTTTTTTATCGAAATATGATACTTTTGTAAAATATAAATAAATTTTTTAAATAATTTTCAACGCATTTATTAACATATGTAATTTATAATAGCAGGGAAATGCATTTATTAACATATGTAATTTATAATAGCAGTAGGCTAACGTTAAGTTAACTTTACACTCTCAACTAAACACAGAGTAGCAACTAGAAAGTTCTTCTTTAGTAATTGCAAGATTTCATGTTCTCAAAACTTTGCAAGTGCTTCTGTTACTATACAATGGTCTATCTTGCATGTATGAATGAAATTAGTAAACTTGTTGGCGAAAGAACAATCTTGTAACAATTACACCTTAACAACTCTCCCCACAGGGGACGTCCTGAGGATGCCCAAAGGACATCTATGTGTCCTTTGAACATCCTAAGGACATCCTCAGGATGTAGTACGGATAAAGTATGTTATCAGGGTATATAATAGAAATTGAAAGAAAATTTCTATTTTAATATTTTTATATTAATTATTATCTAATATGTATTAATTATCAATTCTTTAAGAAGTAGTATTTATATGTCTTGCAGAATATATCCTGAATGAATTTTTGTCTAAAACTTTAATTTTAAATAAATATCATTTATTGCAATCTTTAATAATTGCCATTAAATAATTAAATAAAAATCGAAAATTTAATTTGAATTCTGAAGAAATGAATAACTTTTGCACAACCTGATTACACTCCAAAGCTCAGTATGAAAAATTAAATAGCTTTATTTTCAATCGCTTACAACTTGAATAATAATGTATAATCCATTTTCGAGAAACTAAGGCTATACAAAACATTGTGACAGCTTCGTGTATGTATGTTATCGCGTACGTATGGAATTCTATTCTAGAATAATGAGACCCAAAATATAACGCGGATGACGCGTGTAGAAGTTTTGTACTTCTTGCATAATACGCATTGTACTTCAGAGCCTAAGCTAAACATTTGTATGTAAGAGATCATGGTTTTATGTAAATGGATTCTGTGTTCTGAGAGGAAGGGAAGGTGAGAGTTCGCCTTGTTCACGGGACGATAAAGCTGAAGCTTAGTCGGGATAAACATGATTCAAACGAAATGAATAGTGCAACAAAGTACTGAGATTTATTTCTCGTTGCGGTATATGATTAACTCTGTCGCATTTGAATAGTAAAAGCGTAATCCGTTGAGAAACCAGAATAAAACTTGTAACGCAATTGCTATTAAATTTTAGTTGCACATTACATTATAATAAAATTTATTTATTAAGATATTCTAATTAAGATATTATTAAGGTATTTATCAAATATTACGATAAATATAGCTGTAAATCAATTAATTTTTACTTAAGTAATTATTTTTAAATAAAATATTTCAAAACTGTTGATATATAATTTAATAATCTTTAATGGATTTAGACACCGATCTTTCTTAATAAAATTTTTATGTCAAGCTTATTGAACAAATATCTAATACTATAAATAGTCGACTTTTTTAACAAAGTCAAGAAAAACTTTTAATTCGACGTAATATAATATCTCGTAATTCAATGTTATATAATATCAAAATCTGATCATTAATGCTCAAATTACATGCATGATGATACATGTAATTGGAGGATTAACGGTCAAATTTTATATACATGTAATTTGAAGATTTACACTTCAATTAAATGAAACATGAGGTTTTATCGTCCGAAATTTACTTGAACTCACTACTGAAACTTGTCTCAACCTAGTAATTATCGATTCTTCAATAACTTCATAATTAGAACTCTACGTGTGTGACATAAGAAAAAACTTTAGATCTAGATAACATTGTTATATCAAAGAACACAATATCTGATAATAAGCATCACAGAAATCTCTACGTTTTTTATATAAATGTTATAAAAATATAATACAAAAATAATACATCAACAGAAGGAGGCGATAATTACGAGTTAAAGATTAAAATTCTAAATGAATAAATTATTGTTATTCCAGGTTCGACAAATGCATTCACTTATTACTGGCAGGTGAGGAACTTCAACGTGATGCTGTCGAGCTGGCAGACAGGCCGTTCAATACGCAGTCCTACCTTCTATGCGGGTCGCAGCGGTTATGCCATGTATTTGAAAATCACTCCGAAATATTTTCCCGATGGCACGGTCTTCGTAGCTGTCGGATTGACCCGCGGTCGTTATGATTCCGTTCTCACGTGGCCGTTTCCTTACAGGATCCGCCTCGAGGTACGCATATAAGACACCCGACGCTCGAAGTCGAGGTGGATTTCCGAGGGAGAGATAAATTGATAACTCCTAAATAAAATAAATTTCACAAGAGGTTCTCGGACGTAATTATGTAACATAATTACAAAGTACAGAAGGAGGCCCGCGAGCGATATTTTTGATCTGAGAAAACGAAAAGCTTTGTGCCGGGATGTACCGTAGAAAATACTCTCGAGACGTTTTCAAAACAGAAGAACCTTTCTAATGTGATCGAACAATTTTAAACAAAGTTAGAAAGTCGTGACTACATAAGTATAATCCGTGTCGCTCGCATTCCACCATAAAGGATAGACAAAATCAATATTATGGACTTGGGCTTATTTTCCTATTTTATTATTTTCAGATAAATATATTTGATGTATATATCATTAAGAGAGAGAGAGAGAGAGAGATTAAAAAGTATTAAATAATTTAAATCTTTTAAGTAGATATGTTTTTTCTCATCTTAAATTTGATATATTATCTGTGATTTAAATTTACGAATATTTTTTATGTAGAAGTTAAGTTTATTATTCTAGATTAATAAAACAAAGAAACGTTAAAATTAATTATTAATAAACAGACATTAAGTTTTTCTAAGTTAATTACGTACGTATTTTATACTTACTCATTATTTATAATAATAAAAAATATATTGCTCAAACAATATCATTTTATGTAAAGAAGTAATAGAGTTAGAAATATAATTTTCTATAAATTACTTATTAGTAAATCTGTTTTACCAATTATTAGGTGTTGAACTTAATTCCTGCCGTTTTTCGTCTCCAAAATTGATTTGTTTCGAAG